TAGCCAGGCGTTACAGGTTCCCCTAAATGAATTTAATATGGGTCAGCAATGGCATGCAAATAAACTGAGCAATGGGGGCTTTATATGTAGCTGTGTGTGTGTGTGTGTGTGTGTGTGTGTTAGTTGTAGAGAATTTATTAACTTTTTCCACTTGGTTCAAAATCTTGGAGACTATTTGGAAAATTGCATATAAGGGTACACATTTTTCCTTGTGTCTTAGGTTCCAATAAAGCACTATTTCCTCTTTCCAGCTGGCTTACTTAAGCCTCAAAACGCCCCCAAAATGTGGATACTATTTATTACTCCTCCTCCCCCTCTCTTGTTTTGTAGAAGGGAAAATGAAGGCTCCTGAGGCAAGGCAAAATAGCACCGACAGTAATATTGTGATATAGTCATGGAACACATTGGGGCAGTGTATGATGACAGGAGCTAATTTTTGGTTGAGAATATTTGGGAACAATTTTAGTTCTGGTGTAACAGGTTGTGGCCTGGAGGCTGAGCAAAATTCTATCATTTAAAGTCAGGTAAATCCAGCTCCCTCCAAGAGCTCAAGGGTTACTGTGGCCAGTAACCCTTGGGTAGAACCTGGAGCGTGCTAAGTGAGGGTCCCATGGGGCTGTGACTCAGTAGAGGGGTTAACAGGATGGCCAGGAACAGTTCCTGGGGAGAAGCCAGGGTACCCCACATAGGACTCAATCTGATGCTGATGTCAGGGCTGTCTGGGAGCCTGTACACAAGATGGGGACAGAACATTTTCCCTGCTCTATTGCTGTGAATCTACTTCCCCGAGAATTAAATGACATCCTGGGCATCAATGTGCTCTGTATGCTGCACATTTGTTGTATTAACTTAAGGGGACGTGAGACACACATCTGCTTAAAAAATATGTAGTGCAAGTGCATTCCAAACTTATGAACATTTCCTACCCACCTCTGTGCCTGAGTCTCTGCACACTCCCCCACCACCCCGAGAAAGCACCCTTCGCGGTTTCTTGTGTCTCCTTTTGGCAACAGTGTGTGCACAGACAAGCACTTAGACTCCCACACACCAGAACACTACATTTAAGGGATTTATGATGAGCAGAGCTTCCAGCACATTATACAATGGGGAATGCTGCCAAGTGGCTGGGAAATGGAACATTTTGAGCATCCAATTATACTTCATAAGTAATTCTAAATCAGAGGTTCTCAAGTTCAGCCCTAGTGATATTTTGGACTGGACCATTCACCATCATGGGGGACAGACGTGTGTACAGAAGCTTGTTCTGCAGCATCCCTGATTCTCACCTACTGGGAGCCAGGAGCACACCACTGCTCCCTCCCAGTCCCCAAATGTGGCAGTTGAAAATGTCCCCTGGGGAAAAGGAACGGCAGCATCCATTTTAAGAGCTGCTGTTCTACTAGGCTTGGTGGTGCACACCTGTCATCCGGCACTTGGGAGGCCGAGGCAGGAGAATCAACATGAGTTTGAGGCCAGCCTGAACTATAAAGCAAGACTTTGTCAAAAAAAAAAGAAAAAAAAAAGAAAAGAAAGAAAGAAAGAGCCACTGTTCTAATCCTTGAGTGACATCTGCAGCAAAGTGGCAGATAATTAAGAGAAAAATGTAAAGGATCCAAAGCGATAAAAAAAAAAAAATAGGAATCTCTGAAGAAAACAGGAGCCAGGATAGAGAAATTAAAAGTCGAGGGATTTTCCATCGTTAATGCAGAATCTTTTCCTAAGGGGATGGTAAGGAATAATCTCCCAGCTCCAAACAGGGGAGAACAGGAAGTAGGTTTAAGAGGAAGAGAAAATGAGATGATTATACCCATTCCTGAAAGGTATCCTCTTTCCTGAAGATGATTATGAGTAGCAGAGTATAGTATAGCTTGGAATTGTTCTCTTGGGGCTTTGTGGTTATGATTTGAAACTCTTCAAGTGATTTTAGCAAAATATGTTTATTCCATGAGCTTGTCTGCTGTGGTGCTTCTAAGAAAACCTGTTTCTCATTACAAGAGAAGAGAATTAGCAGTATGCGCTAACTGTGGAAAAATTAGATTATGTAGCAAAATTAAAAAGAGGAAAAATTTAAAACACCTTTAATCTCACTAACCAGTGAAATACATTTGGTACTTTAGTGAATTCCTTTCCTAATTATTTTCTTTGTGTACACATGAGGGTATATTTTTAGATAGAAATATATTATACCCAGGTACAAAAAAAAATGGGTAAATACAGACATAATGCTTTGGAGCTCTAAAAAAAATGTACTCCACTGCAAATGTCTTTTCTCATCCATAAATATCTACCACTATATTACGAAGTTCTTGCAAAGTACGGAGCTCTTATAATTTAATACATCCTCTAGATTTGGAGATTTAAATTGCTTCCAGTGCTTTGAGATCACAATGTCTCAGCAAATTTTCCTTCAACAAGTTGTTCTTTGCGCACCTCTACTACCTTCCCCCACTCAGGGCAAATTCTTGGACCTAAATAGCTGGAGCAAATATTATGCACAGCTGTTATGGGCCCAGCATAATTGGTCAAACTATGATATTTTGTACAGCTTTTGGTAGGAATTGCTTACTGGCTCGCAAAACAGATGATTCAATTTACATTCTCATGGGTGGTAGTGGGTTTTGTTTTGTTTTGTTTTTTTAACCTTTGCCAAGCTGAAAATTTGTTAGGTGAGGGTGGTGGGTGTTGAAAGAGTTATTTCTTTCTGTAGAAAATTGCATGGCCCAGCATTAGGCCTTTTTAAAACTGCCTTTTGCTGTAATTCGCAAGCATTGGAAAAAGAGGTGAAACGTGTGTGTGTGTGTGTGTGTGTGTGTGTGTGTGTGTGTGTGAATCTGTCCTCTGATGAGGAAGGTATCTGTATTTAGTCATTTCAGGCACGCAGAACAAGAGCCAAGCTGTTCTTACTGTCCTGGGATCCTCGGTGGCTGCAGGGCCAATGTTATACCCGCCCCACCCCACCCCCAACCTTCTATGGATTCGGAGAACTGGCTTCCTAGTAGTTGATACAGCCCGGCCTCTGAGGGGGGTGTCACCTGTCTCGAGGTCGCTGGGTTCTCTCTGGACACGATTGCACCGAGTGTAGGAGGTTAAGGACATTGGCACCGTGGGCCTCCGGAGTGGAGAGGTGACCCGGCGACTGGGCTGGGCGGAGTGGCTGCGCCAAACACGTGACGCTCCCAGCCTGCCTCCCGGGCCTCTGGGCGCCTGAAGCTGAAATCCACATTTGCCTCTGGTAGGAAAATGAACTTGTCGATTTCCGTCTGCATCAGACCCTCAACCCAAAGGAGCGGGGGATTGCGCTAGCATTTTAACTTGCTACCTCAGGAATCTGACAGCAAAAGGTAAGTTGTTTATCATTCAGAGTAACAAACCTAACAGGAGTGACCTAGAAAGCCACTACCACTTTGTCGATTTAAAAAATTTGGTCTGGAAAATAATAGATCTCTTTGAGAGGCAAGGGCTGTATTTATCCCCAAATTAGAGATTGTCTTTCTGAACAGAAATTTGGTTAATCTGGAGGGATGGTGGTAAAAGGGCCAGGGTTAAACATAGACGGACACGAAAGCTGCTGAAATAAATAGCAAGTAAACTCAACTCCAGCCTGCTTGGAAAACAATCTGTTTCACAATTCTTTCGGGGTGTGAGCAAAGGAAATGATAAAACTGTGATTTAAAGTCCAGTGAAAATAATGTACATGATACTGGAATACAAATAAAAACAATTTCTGCTTTTGTATTTTTACTTTTCAAAAACGTTTATGTGGTTTGGCGAAAGAAAAGTTTAAATGTGCTGCCCTTAAGTTTGAAATATACTATGTCAAATTTATGAAATAATCACAGTTGGAATTTTCTAAGGCTTTGTAAACAAAGCTGTTTCAGTTGTAAATGAGAAATGTTGATATTGTACATATTTTTGTGATAGTAAAATGACTCACTTCTTCAGAATGTGATTAAAAATTAGAAAATGTGAAATAATGAGTTCCTGTGAATTATGTCATTCATGCCTGAAAAATTAAATGCCTTACCAGAAGATATAAGATAATAAATGCAGATCCACATACAATTTTGCTCACAAATAGTGCTTTATTTTAAATAACCAAATATTGAAGTAAGTAGTATTGATATGTGGTGTCACTATTTTCTCCTTTGGTGAATACAAATTAATAGTGGAAAGCAGCTATGGAGAGTAATTAAAGCAGTATTCATCAGTGCAATTAGTATGATACTCCACAATGAAGTGCTTAAAGTGCTCCATGTAATATTTGACATATGACTGGTACATTCACTGAATCTCCATGCGTGCTATATTTTAAGCGTCATTTTGATTTGCACAAAATATATTTCTCTACTGCATTTGATAAATACTGGTTTTACAGTAAAACACTAACTTCTATTTCCTTTTACTGTAATCCCCTTATTGCTAGTCCTTTTGAAATCCTATTACATGCTTGGAGCCTGTAATAATTTGGATTTCTTCTTCTGTGTGTTGTTTGTTTCCCATAATTCTTCGTGAAAGGCCACTCAAGCTCAACCCATCAAGCAAAACGCCCCGAAGCGAGCTCAGAACAAGGCTTCGGTCCACTCGCAGCTCAGCTCCTGGGACGCCCAGGGTCTGTCCCCCTCCCCTAGCTCCTGGCGCGGTCCCAAGGCGTCACGTGGGAGCGCGGAGCCCGCCTCGCGGTGACGTCACGGCGCTCACGGCCGTCGCGCCGAAGAAAGGATGCTCTAGG